AGAAAAGACGTTTCAGCCCTTTCTTATCCCCACCCTCAGGCCTGCTGACTATCTACCCAGATCATTGCTCTGATTTGTCTGTTGATTTTCCTCCACCCTTGCTGTGTTTCTGATTCTTTAATCTGTCTTTCAACACAGGCTAGTTTATGTTACCGATCTTTGTAAGCCACCTGGAATCCGTCCTGAAACATGATGGGAGGACATAAGCAAGAAGGCAACAGCTCTATAAAACACCCCTACCCCGAGAAATCACAAGATCACCACCCACAGAGAAAGCCAGAGGCTTCTTTTCAATTCTATTTTGTTAGAGGGATAGGTGAGGATCTTTATTCTGTCATTAACAAAACACTACCGAACCTAACAGATAAAGATGATCAACAAAAAAACTCAACACCTAGCAGAATGATCCATGATTCCCTATTTGGAGAAGAATTTTAATCAACATATGGGTATGAGAAATTTAAAAAATTTAGAATTTTTTTTTGACTCACTACACCCTTCGGGAGCAAGGTTTGGAGAATGTGATTTCATTCGGTCATATTTTCAAGCATCCTTACCGTTTTCCCTTTCACCCACTCAGTGGCTAATGAGCTGGAGGCGATTGCGGAGCCGCAGCCGAATGTTTTAAACCTGGCATCCACAATCTTCCCTTTTTCGTCCACTTGGATCTAGAAAAGAACAAGAGTTAAGCAGTGATTCCTGGAGCCACCCTCCCGGAACCTGGAAATCATGGAAGTGTACTGAGGCCTTCCCCAAGGGCTTTGAGCTTGCTTTCTACGTTGTAAATTATGGCATTAATTACGGACTTTGCTTCGTTTCAAAGAGCTCGCTAATGAAAAGTGAAACGTGGAACAACTCTACAGGCCTAGACGGTAAAGATCAGATGGAAAAGATGCCCTTCCACTCCAGTTTTGTTTTGTAACCTTAGCCTGCATGTTAACTATGAAGTCCTGTTTGAGGAAGTCTGCTCCCAGCTAGCTGCTGAGGCAATCTGCCTTTTTAAACACTAGGGAAGTCTGCAATAAAGGTCTCTGGTTAGTACTTTTTTCTTGGGCACCAAATTGCACTTAATAGTTCCCTCCTGCTTGTTTCTGTTTTTCAAGATAGGAGGAATGAAGACCTCTGGCAAACTGCCTACCCACTATGAAGAAACATTGTGGACACAGCTATAGTTTATCCAAAGCACAAGATATGACCTTCATGTTGCTTCCAATTTGGGGACGGGTTTGATTTATTGCATTTGTCTCACTGGAGATTGCTAGCCCTTTGGGGTTTTCCTTTGATCAGTAAAATTCACAAAAACTTTTACTTGGCTGAAGTTGGGACTTAAGCTGATACAGTGAGTTGAAAAATGAGATTAGTTTCCTATTTCCGAAAAGGTCATAGTATACTAGGTAGAGAACCAAGATTGAGGACCTGCTAATCATTTATAATATCAACTCATCCCACTCACAGGAATAAAGATGGAGACCAAATGAAATGCTGTATGTGCAAATGCTTTGTAAACTATAAAGCACTGTGTAAGCAAAGGGATTGTTATTACCATTAAAGTTGAAAACCAGCTGGTACCTGTAATTTCATTACATCACCACATGCTGGAGCCCCCACCAGTCCAGTTCCAACGTTTTTAGATGTCTTGTCAAGGGATCCCACATTTCTAGGATTTTCATAATGATCAACCACCTGAAATGAGAGGGTTAAGAGAAATAATGATCGCTTTGTCGGTATTGGTCTTCCTGACTTAATGGTTAGGTCCTCCAAGTCAGCAACCTGATCTAGCAGGCAATCACTAAATACTAGATTTCATCTGGGTAGAAAGGCCTCCACTCATGTCAATCAGAACCATTTGTGGCCTAAACACTTTTTATCTCTTTCTCCAGCTACTTTCACAGATTTGTAATAAAAGTTAAAAAAAAAAAATCTAAACATACTATGGCCCAGGAGTGGAAGGCTTTCTGAGAAGCTTCAAGGTGACTGCTATGGCAGGCGTACATTTACATGTCTTTTAAGATAAAAGCAGGCGGGGCATGGTGGCTCAAGCCTGTGACCCTAGCACTGCGGGAGGACTGTTTGAACTCAGGAGTTTGAGACCAGCCTGAGCAAGAGCGAGACCCCGTCTCTACAAAAAAAAAAAAAAAAAAAAATTCGCTGGACAACTAAAATATATATATAAATAAAATAAATTAGCCAGGCATAGTGGCACATGCCTGTAGTCCCAGCTACTTGGGAAGCTGAGGCAGGAGGATTGCTTGAGGCCAGGAGTTTGAGGTTGCTGTGAGCTAGGCTGACACCACGGCACTCTAGCCTGGGCAACAGAGTCAGACTGTCTCAAAAAAAATAAAAAAATAAGATAAAAGCAATGTCATGACTGCATCTCATGGCCTGGCCATCAACCTGGTGCAGCAGCGCACCCTGGTGATTGCATGGCTGCTAGCCCAAGTTCCTTCAGCGCACACCATCAACAAAACACAAGCCAGGGTGGGGGAGGAGTAAAGACCTCGGCAAAAGTGCAGAAGCTAGAACAGAATAAACATCAACTCGAACTGGTAAACACAAGGCTTTAAGGACCTTGCGGTTTGTTTGCCAGTAGGTACCCCAATTTTCCAGTCCTCTCCACACGGATATCCGAGTATGGATTTTTTTTTTTTTTTTTTTTTTTGAGTCTCGCTTTGTTGCCCAGGCTAGAGTGCGTGCCGTGGCATCAGCCTAGCTCACAGCAACCTCAAACTCCTGGGCTCAAGCAATCCTGCTGCCTCAGCCTCCCGAGTAGCTGGGACTACAGGCATGCTCCACCATGCCCGGCTAATTGTTTCTATATATATGTTAGTTGGCCAATTAATTTCTATTTTTAGTAGAGACGGGGTCTCGCTCTTGCTCAGGCTGCTTTCGAACTCCTGACCATGAGCAATCCGCCCGCCTCGGCCTCCCAGAGTGCTAGGATTACAGGCGTGAGCCACCGCGCCCGGCCGCGGATGTATTTTGACTCCAAGGACCCACCAGATAATATCTAATCTGGACTTTCTGCACCACGTTGATATACGGCATTCTTTAGTAGTTTCCCCAGTAAGAGTCTCAAGACTAGGGGACTCTACCCACTGGAAGGCAAGGGGCTGCAAACTACGCATCTCTCTCCCCTGCCAAAAAACCAAAACATTACACTTGTTGGTTATGTGCCTAGTCCCCTCGGAGGCTATGCGCCCCCAAACAATAACAGCACCATAAATGGTGTCCACACGTGGGGCCTATGTGCTAGGAACCACGTCGAGGTCGCCACACATTATCCTGCAGAAGACTCCTGAGGACCCCTCCGCCCCCACCTGTGTTACACCTGGGGAAACAGGTTCCGTGAGGGGCAGTGACTTGCTCAAGAGCCCTTAGCCAGGGCAGTGGCGTGGCCGAAGCCGCAGCCCGCGCCACAGCGTGTGTGTGTCCCTGGACTTAGAATGGCAGGCAAGTCATAACAGGATATTCCTTCCTGGGCTGTTGGCAAGTATAACGAAGAGACGCACAAAGTCGCGGCGGGGCCCACTGGAAGTCGCCGCCCCATCGGCGGTAGCTGTTATTGGTATATCAACTGCGGTTAGTGTCACTGAGCAGCAAGGGAAAGTGAGTCGAGACAGACGTAGGAGGGGGCGGCCCCTCCGTCCAGGGCCGCCCCGAACCCCACGGCCGTCCCTCCCAGTTTGGGCCTCCGCCAGGACGCCTGCGTCCTCGAGGCGGTCTGCGCAACCCCCCATCCGACCCTACCTTCTTGTGGTAGAGCCGAGCCGGAGCTGACAGCTCCCGGGCCGGCAGGCGCGGGCTCCGCAGCAATAGGGCCGAAGCCGCCCGCCTCAGACGGCCTGATCCAGCCGCAGCCATCTTGCCGGCTTGCAACTGCGCCGTGCCGGAGCGCAGAGGTGGGACGCGCCTCTGACGTCACTGCGACTTCGCGCTTGCGCTCTCCTGCTCCGAGCACGTGCCCGCGCCTCGGCCCCGCCTCTCGGGGGCGGGTGGACGGGGCGGAGAGCGGGAGGGTCTGAGGTCGCTGGAGGGCTCGTCTGCAGAGCTGGAGCCTGGGTGGGCGAGGACCTCAGCCTCCCGGAGTGCGGGGCCGGGCTGGCGTTCGCGAAGCCCACCGCTGGAATGTGGCGCTGGGAGCCACCAGTCCTAGCTCTGTTTTGCAGCTTAGGGAAGTTGAGGTTCAGAGCGGTTTAGCTGACTTCTCCGAGGTTGCTCAGAGAGTTAGGTTCAGTTGGGATTCGAACTTGGGTCATGCTGGGTTAGAATCCTGGTTCTGCTCCTTCCTGGTTGTGTGACCCTAGCAAATAAAATCGGCACGCCTAGCCTGGATCTCTCCTTTTGTACTAATTCAAGGACTATTCTTTCATGCACGGACCAAGTATATGCTGAGTACCTACTGTGTATGAAGGTGCTATACTAGACTCTGGGGATCCAACGGACAGCAAAACAGACATAATTCCTGCCCCATTAAGCTTGCTAATGAGGGAGAAAGACAATAAGTGGAGAAACACACCAAGACTTCCCTACCTCAAAAATGTTTGATTGAAAAATAATGTATATGTCTATCTATAAAGCAGCAAACTCACAATTTATGTTACAATGCCTAGCAATTAAGAGTTTCTAAAGAAATGCTTACTAATGTAATGTTTTTACTACTGGTTTGCAAGGTACCTTATAAAACCAGAAAATCCACACGTGCATTTAAGGCATACTAGGTATCAGGGGTTACATAAAGGGGAGGAATCTCTCAGGGAAATGGATTTTTCACCTGAATGGCGCAGTCTATCCTTCTCAGAGGACGTGGGGTTTTTCCTCTGCGTTTGGGGCGCAGTTGCAGGGGAGACTGAACCACGCGCCAAGTCACACTAGGCGTTAAGTAAGACATTTGTTCTGACTCACCTTACCTTCTCAAGATGGCGCCAAACCCTTGCTACAGACATCACGCTCACTCCATGACTTCCTCTATGGCCTCCATTTCCTGTCCAAAGACCCAACATCTGTCCGAAGTTGTGACGGTACACATGCCAAGTAAATGAGTTTTTTCTCTGACGGGAGTTTCTACAAGGATATAAAAGTAATATGAATTGTGTGTATTTCAAGATTTTTCCTGTCATCCGAGGCTCCCAATATCCCTTTTGGAGGCAAGAAAGCCGGGTTTTGATCAGGCGCGCGCCGCGGGCAGCTCTACTTCAGCCGGGTCTTCGGCGGCCGCGGGAAGACCCAAGAGTCCCTGGAAGCGCAAGATGGCGACGGCGGCTGCAACCTCGGTTTCAGAACCGGAGGCTGAGTCCAAGGCTGCGCCCAAGGCTGAGGGAGAGGAGGATGAAGTTAAGGCGGCTAGGACGAGGAGGAAGGTGCTATCGCGGGCTGTGACTGCTGCGACGTACAAGACCATAGGGCCAGAGTGGGATCCGCAGGAGGAAGGCGTGAGCGAGAGTGATGGGGATGATGAGGAGTACGGCATGGCATCCTCCGGCGAGAGCTCCCCCGGGGAGTACGAGTGGGAGTACGACGAAGAGGAGGAGAAGAACCAGATAGAGATCGAGAGGCTGGAGGAACAGGTGGGCCAGGGGCGGGGGGCAGCGGGCTCCTTCCCTTGGGTCCCCAGGTCCCGGCCCGCCTTCCCGGTCCTCATTGGCGATAAAGCCGCCGAGGCCGCAAACCCGCTATTAATCACCGTACCTCCTTTGATTTGAGCGCTTTCCGCATGTGAGGTGCTTTGCAAACGTTATCCTATTGAGTCCTTGCCACGACCCTGTGAAGGAAGTAGTGTTACCTTTATTTTACGGGGGAAACTGAGGCTCGTGGAGAAAAGTCTCTTGTTCAAGGTAACAGTTCTACAAGTGGCGAGTCAGGCCTTGTACTTTGAACCGACTCCAGAATCTCACTCTTAACCACACAGTTAAACTATGTCCACAGTAGAAATACAGTCTTCTTCGTAGCAGAGTGTTACTTTCTTGTAGGTATGACGACAATGATGAAATCTGGTCTAGTAGGAAAAATATTTACCGTGACGCTGGTAATAGAAATGGAAAGGTAGAGGTTTTGGCATCCGGAGGTTAAAGCCCCAGTTCTAGCTGTTCCATCCCTGTGTGTTTGGGCGAATTTCTTTACTTCTCCGAGCCTTGGCTTTCTCATCTGTAGAGTGGGAGCAACAATTTCTGCGTCATATAATTGTCATAACGGTAATTATACCTAGTGCCTGGCACTGAGAAGTAATGCGAGCTGTAATCTGTAACTTTATGAGTTGGTGGTATGTGCCGTTTAATTCAGAGTCCCAGCAGGAAATAGGTGGCCCATTTAAATTAGGACAGTTTGAGAAAACATCAGTGAAAGGATAACCGTGTTTATAAAGGCGTGAGCAGGGAAATCAGGAGTGAAGGTTTAGTATCCAACATTTAGTAACAACAGAACCTTGTGTCCATCTTTAGGCCTAAAGTGGTGAAGGGAGTGACTGGTTGCCTGATTACCGCGTTCCCTGAGAATAAGACCTACCCATAAAATAAGCCCTAACAGGTTTTCTAAGCATTTGCGTAATATAAGTCCTACCCTGAAAATAAGACCTAGTGATGGGTGTGGCTACGCAGCATATCTGCACGGCCCATGCCTTTGGTAAAGAAGATGAGTCCTTTTCATCTGCCCCATGAGAGCACTATTGCTAGACATGAGAGATTAGGGCCAATGGTCCTAAAGGAAATAGAGTCGCAAAAAATTCAGGATGGAATTTGGGGTTTGGAGAGTTATGATGATGTTCCAGAAGACGACAACTTAATTATATTTGAGTAAATGTAGATCATTGTACCGTACTAAAAAAAAAATAACACACCCCCTGAAAATAAGCCCTAGGATGTCTTCTTGAGGAAAAATAATGATAAGACCCTGTCTTATTTTCAGAGAAACACGGTAGCTGTGTGGAGAGGGCATCAGAGCTGTAGAAGTGTGTTCAAGGGCTTCCAGCCCAGTGTCCTGTCAGAGGTTGGGAGGGAAAGAAATACCCTGACCTCCCTCTCCTGGAAGCTTCCTCCCAACTTCTGGTGGTGCCCCCTGCTGGGGAAACCCATCTGGTAGCCCAGGGGCCACGAAACTCATAAATGTGGTTTACACTGGGGAACACGGGACAGGCAGAGGGAGTGGAGTGGACTTTGATGAGGGGCAAACGGGAAAGATTAAGCACATTCTCATTTTACAGATGAAGAAACAGAGGCTCAGAACAAATGATGAAATGATTTACTTAAAGTCATCCTTGGTAGGATTTGAACTCTTAAAGGTTGCCTGTGGACCAAATGTCTCACTGGCTATGAAGTCACTAAGTGATGTGAAATTGCTAACTTGGGTTACTCACTTAACCTTGCTGGATGTCAGTTTCCTTATACTGCTCCCTCTGGCCCTGATATTTTTGTTAAGTTGCATAATAGTGATAGCATCCATTGGTATAGTGTATCCCACTTGTCATAACATCTGATCGTCAAAGGAGCCAGTTGGGAGAGGCAAGTGGTTACCGTTTCTACTTTTTATAAATAAGTGTGCTGAAGCTAATTCAGCAAATACAGTGTGACATGGGGTACCAGGCTGACTGTGTCCCTGCCCTTGTTGATATCATTTCTTCACACTGCTAGCCCTTGGCCTTTTGACAGCCTTATATGTGAGGTGGGGGAAGGAAAGGCTTGGGACCAGAGAGGTTAAGTCCTTGAGAGTATACTTACTAGGGAGGAGGCTCCTAGTGCTCTGCAGTTGCCTGTCCCACCACAGTTCACAGAGGGCAGGATGGAGATCAGAAGGTGACCACATCAGATGGGACCTGGCACATGATGGTGAATTGAAAGGCCTTTGGTCTTATCCTCTTTGTCCTGGGATCTAGAAATGGACTTTTCCAATTTTTCCAAACCTTCCTCCCGCCTCATCCTAATCCTCATAGCCTCTTGTTCTTGCTGTAACTTGCTCTGATGGTGGAGCATAATGCTGAGTAACTTCCCAATTGCCTGTGAGCAACTCTGCCTTGCCATATTTGTGAGCCCTTGTCCGCATCCCCGAATGTATTTTGTGAAAGCTGCTGATTTGCTGTGGTATCTATCTGTATAAGAAAAGCAAAAGATTTTCTGTGATTTGTGCACTGAAAGTGGCACCTTGCAGTATTTTAGGCAGATTTGTCAGTGCAGCATGGTGCGGTACAAAGGCTATGGCTTTGTACACACGTGAGAATCCAAGCCTCCCGCTCAGTAATGGAAAGACCCTGTGCAAGTTATTTCAGCTCTTGGAGCCCAGAGTGCCCCATTGGTAAAATGAAGACTGTAATAGTACCTGCCTCTCAGGGCTCTTGGGGGACTTAAGTGACACATTGTGCATAAAGTTCCTGGCACAGTTTGGCACACAGTAGGTGCTAAGTAAAGGCCTGCCCTGTTCTCCCTTCCTTGCTTTCTCCTGATTGCACCAGCTGTTTCCTTACTACCAGCCTCTCCCAGGAATACTGGGAAGCCATGGGAGGCTTTTACTTTCATGATTAATAGAGAAAGATAATGGGTTCTTGTTTAAAATCTAATTACTTGAACAGCACCCTATAATCTTTTATATTTGTGTTCTGCAAATGGTTGCTCTTCCCATCCTCCATTTAAAGGTTCACAGCTAGCTAATTGTTAAATTTTTATCCTAAAGTTCAAGTAATCAAATTCATTAGCTATCTTTCTGTATTTTAATGAAATAACTAGTACCTGGATTAGTAGAGTACATTGTCAGATGGTGGAGTATAATTTGAATGTAGTATAGGTAATCTTTTATCTCAGGAGAGGGAAATATTTATTGCTAAAATGTGACATGCTGGAAGGGTAGGTACTAATGAAGTCTTGGTGTACAGCCAAGGTAAGCCTATATCCCAACTTGTATGAAAACTTTTTAAAAAAATTAACCTTTTTATTTTGAGATAATTGTAGATTTCCATGCACTTGTAAGAAATAATGCAGAGACATCATGTGTACCTTTTATTCACCTAGTTTCTTTCAATGATAACATTTTGCAAAATTATAGTATGATATCACAACTTGGATATTGACATTGTTGCAGTCAAAATACAGATCAGTTCTGTCACCATAACGATCCTTCCTGTTACCCTAAATTTTCTCCTGTGTGTTTTTTTTTAACGTTTTACAGTTCTAGATTCACATTTTACATTTAAGTCTATGATCCACTTTGAGTTAATTTTTATATAAGATGTGAGATTTAGGTTGAGGTTAATTTTTGTTTTTGCCTGTGGCTATCCAATTGCTGCAGCATCATTTGTTGAGGAAAAGGCCCCCTTTTCCTCCATTGTGTTGCTTTTGCATCTTGTTTTATTTTATTTTTTTGAGACAGAGTCTTGCTCTGTCATCGTGGGCAGAATGCAGTGGCGTCATCATAGCTCACTGCAACCTCCTGGGCTAAACCTCAAAACTCCTTCTTCCCTCAGCCTCCTGAGTAGCTGGGGCTATAGGCATGTGTCACAATGCCTGGCTAATGTTTCTGTTTTCAGTAGAGATGGGGGTGTCGCTCAGGCTGGCCTTAAACTACTGAGCTCAAGCAATTGCTCCACCTCAGCCTCCCAGAGTGCTAGGATTACACCTCACAGAGCCATTTTGGCATCTTTTTCAAAAATTATTTGGGCATATTTGTGTGGGTCTGTTACTGGGTTCTAGTCTCTTTCCTTGATATATGTGTCTTTCTGCTAAATTCACACTGTCTTGGTCATTGTAGCTACATAGTATGTCTTAGCATCAGATAGAGTGATTCTTCCCCATCTTATTCTTTTTCAACATCATTTTTAGCTATTCTAGGGCCTGTGCCATCCCATATATCTTTTAGAGTAAGCTTGTCTATGTTTGTAAAAAACCTTGTTGGGATTTTGCTAGGATTTCATTAAACTTATAAGTCAACTTGGGCATCTTTTAATCCATGAACACATAATGTCTCTCCATTTTTTAGCTTTTTGATTTCTTTTCTCAGCATTTTGTGATTTTTCAACATATAGATTCTCTACTTGTTTTAAGTTTATACCTAAGTATTTCATTTTTTTTTTTTTTTTTGGAGTGATTATAAATGGTATTTTGTTTATAAATTTGTTTCCCATATGTCCATTGTTTTTTGTAGGTTTCTATTGTATTCTTTTTTTTTTTTCTATTGTATTCTTTGACCTTGCTCAATTCAGTATTCTGGTCAAATTCAATCTACTTTACATGATATTAGTATCTCCACTTTGTCGTCTTTTAAATTCATGTTTGCATGGTATATCTTTTTCTGTCCTTTTACTTTTAGCCAACTTACTTATGTCTTCGAATTTGAAGCGAGTTTATAATCAGCATGTAGTTCGGTTGTATTTTTATCTACTCTCTACCATTTTCTGCTTTTTAATTAGTATGTATAGATGATTTACATTTAAGGTAATTACTGATATATTAGCTCTAAAACCTGCCATTTTATTATTTGCTGCTTGTTTCTCCTGCTTCTCTTTTCTTGCCTTCCTGTGTGTTATTTGAACATTTTTTAGAATTCCATCTTGATTTATTTACAGTGATTTTTAGTGTATTGCTTTGAATATTTTTCTTAGTGCTTGCTTTGGATATTAAAATATACAGATATGACTGAAGTGGTATCAGTATTTTACCATTTGAGCGAAGTGTGAAATCTTCCATTTCAGTCCCATTTCCATCCCCACTTTTAAATATCATTGTCTTGGGTATCAGGTGTTCTTAAAATGTTTGTTTCATCATCTCATGTGATTTAGAAAACTCTTGGGGAGAGGATTGTCTGCAGTACTTACCTGTGTTTCTGCTCTTCCTGCTATTCTTGCTTTCTGATGCTCCAGCTTCCTTCTTTATCTTTTCTGTTTGCAGAACTTCCTTTAGCTATTCGTCAAGGGTAGGTCTGCTAGTGACATTCTGTTTAGTTTTCCTTTGTCTCAGATGTATGATAGCTTTTCTTAAAAAATATTTTGTTTTAACTTTCAGTTTGAAAATTTTCAAATGTAAAATAAGCCTTTATGTACCTGTCACTTAGGTTCAACATATATCAAATCGTTGCTATTGTTTCTCCAATAAGCATTTTCATTTTTTTATTTAGTAAAATAAAGGAGCTCTTACAATGCACCTGACATGCTAAAGGATGTTTTGAAATTACCTTTTTAAGTCCTTACGAGACCCTTGTGAGCTAGAAACTAGTAGTATCCCCATTTTACAGATGAGGAAATGGAAGCTTAGGAGAGTTAATAACTTGCTGTGACCACATATTTTTTGTTAGTTTCACTACAAAGTCTCCATTATTTCATCAAGAAATAGTATCTTCCAAGAGGAATTGTAACAGATTTGAGATAGCTTTGTGTGTATTATAAAAGCCTCTTCCATTGTTTTGTCTTTCTCTTTTTGAGGCTAAATGTTACATTTGCCATTTCAGTGGTTCTCACAGATAGCACATTAATTTTCTTTGCAGCTGATGATGGCATTTTAAAGTTCCACGTGTGTTTCTTTTCCTTTTAGCTGTCTATCAACATCTATGACTACAACTGCCACGTGGACCTGATCCGGCTGCTGCGGCTGGAAGGGGAGCTCACCAAGGTGAGGATGGCCCGCCAGAAGATGAGCGAGATCTTTCCCTTGACTGAAGGTAAGGTTCAGCAGTCACGCTGCTTTTCGAAGCACAGAATTGAGGAGTGTATATTTTTTTCTTTTAAAAAATTTTTTAAAAGTAATTAATTTTTAAAATTTTATTCCTCACCTCTAGGTGCGTATGTACGTTTTTTTTCAATGCTGAAAGTGGGATGTGCTCCTCCTTATAGAAAATTTGGAGTGTATAACATAGTGGAAAGAACAAAGCCCATCATTCAAAGTCAGCTAGTTTTAGTTTGTTATTTTGTAGTTTTTTGCAAAATGTAGTTGTGCTTATACAACACTGATTCACATTTTGAATCCTGATTTTTTTTTATTGTAAGATTATAACAAAAATTTTTTATGTAATTAAACTTTACTCCCATTCTCTATTTCCCTTTGCAGTATTTATACATTTAACCCATTCTCTCAGAACCAGAAAGTTGTAAATATATTATAATTAAGCTTTTATAAATGTGAATGTTTCATATGTTAATTATTCGACAAAACTATTGTTTAGTGGAGTCTATTGTTTATTACATTTAGGTTATTTCTATTTATTTGCTTATTAGAAACATGATTGCACTGAGCAACTTTCTAATTAAATCTTCAGGAAGGTTTGTAAGAGATCTTTTGGGCAGGAATTGGAAACCCTTGTCCTAGGTCCAGCTCTGTCCCCCTCTCCCTCCTGCCATGTATAACTGCTGGTCGAAGGTGCTGAAATCAGATTGCCCAGTTTCATTCCTGGCTAGACCTCTAACTAGCTGTGTAATCCTAAGTAAATTATGTAAACATTCTGAGACTTGGTTTTCCTAACGGTAAAACGAAGATAACAGTTGTTTCTGTCTTGCAGTGCATGACAGAAGAGGATGAGCTATTCTGCTTACAACATTAATGCATGTGGCATGTTGTAAATTCTTAGATAGATGTCATTGTTATTAATGATACTATCACCTACCTTATAGGCTGTGATAAAGACTGAATGAGAAAATACATGTGTGCAAGTACTTCACAAAATATAAAATTCCCAACAGGTATAGGATATTATGATTTTAGTGACATTAAAACCTCCTGTGTTGCCTGGTCCATGTATTAAGAATTGAGTTTCTGGGAACTATGCCAGGTTGTGTAAAGTGGATAACATGTTTGCATGTTGGTGTCTCTCAGTGGTGTGAGGGAGGTGGTGATGGGGAAGTGCTGTTGTCTTGCAGAGCTCTGGCTGGAGTGGCTGCACGACGAGATCAGCATGGCCCAGGACGGCCTGGACAGGGAGCACGTGTACAGCCTCTTCGAGAAAGCTGTGAAGGATTACATTTGTAAGTTCCTGTGGCCGCGTCGTCTAGATCTGTGTCTGCTGTTGTGGATTGTATTGTGAGATGTTGCTACCCAGAAAAGAGAATGTTAGTCTTACAGTTAGAGAGGTTTAAGTTCAGTAATTTTTATCCTTGTTTTTGGTCTTTAATTGAAGATACTTGGTTTTAAAATAAAAGTAGAAGAAATACTTACAGTAAGGGAATGATTACACCCAGCATTTATCTGGCAAGGAGAACTTATTTGGTATTTCCAGGTAATTAAAGGTTACCTTTTACACATTGAATAGGTTTGTAGAGGGTTTTAACAACATTTTTTTTTTTTTTTGAGACAGTCTCGTTGTGTTACCCTGGATATAGTGCAGTGGTCTCACAGATAGCTCACTACAACCTCAAACTCCTGGGCTCAAGCAATCCTCCTGCCTCAGCCTCCTGAGTAGCTGGGACTATAGGTGCGCACCCAACACACCTGGTTAATTTTTCTATTTTTAGCAGAGATGGGTCTTGCTCTTCCTCAGGCTGCTTTTGAACCCCTGAGTTCAAGTGATCCTCCTGCCTCGGCCTCCCAGAGTGCTAGGATTACAGGTGTGAGACAGACGGAATCCTTTTTTTAAAAAATATAAAGCATTAAAAGAAAGATTTTTTAATTTTGAAATAATTATAGATTTACAGGAAGTTGCAAAAATAGTAAAGAGGAGTCCTGTGTACTTACATCACCCAGTTTCCCCCATCGTCTTATAGTACAAAATAAACATCAGAAAGTCAACTTCGGTAAAATGTGTGTGTATGGTTCTGTGACGGGTTATCACATGTGTAGATTTGCGTAACCACTGCTGCAATCCAGATCCAGAACTGCTCTGTCTTCACTGAGGTCTCCGTCACCAAAACGTGTTGACATTTTAAGATACTTTACCCTCCCCTGTTTATAGTATAATTGTTTTAAATATTTTTTCTACACGTATTGAGGATCACATCAGACAATGCTGTGGACAAAATGTTATTTAAAAGCATTTGAAAAATTTTCACCTTTTAAATTATACATCTTCTTCCCTGTTTCTGATTATTCTGACGGTGGGCATTTCCCTTTGCAGGAAGCACTGATACTTAGACTGACTTGAGGTAGAGAATTTTTTGTATAACCTTACCAGGCAAGAAAAATTTACAGTTTTTTACTGTTTATAATCTGAATAATGAAAACAATAAGTGTTGTACAAATAAAAAATTATACTAATTTTTTTTTAAAGCGCTGGGGGGTCTTGCTAGGTTGCCCAGGCTGGTTTTGAACTCTTGACCTCAAGCAATCCTCCAGCCTCAGCCTCCTGAGTTGCTGGGATTATAGGCACAAGTCACTGTACCTGGTCTTCCAGTGTGTTTCTAAAAGCTATACCTGTGCCTCTGCTCTGTAGCCCATGAGTCCTCTTTGGGAATTACTGATAGCATTAGCAGTGGATGATGTTCCTGTGTTTTCTGATGATCCTGTTATCCCTTTCTTGCTGTCTCAAAGTCATTGTTAATAGCACCAGTTGTCTTTCTTTGAGGAGCTGTGGCCCTGGGCGACAGAGTGAGACCCTATCTTAAACCCCCTGTCCCCAAACCCCCAAAAAACTCAGTGATAAGAAAACAAGCAACCCAATTAAAAAATGGGTCAAAGACCTTAACAGACCCCTCAGCAAAGAAGTTACACAACTGGCAAATAAACATATGAAAAGATGCTCCATATCACATGACATCAGGGAAATATAAATGAAAGCAACATTGCGGTATCTTTACACACCTATCAGAATGGCCAGAATTCAGAACATGGACAACGCCAGATGCCAGTGAGGATGTAGAGCATCACAAACGCATTACTTGTGGAAATGCAAAAGGTGCGGCCGCTTTGGAAGACAGCTTAGCGGTTTCTTGTAAGACCACACCTACTCTTACCATGAGATTCAGCATTTATGCTCCTTGGTATTTACCCAGAAGAATTGAAAACTTAAGTCCACACAAAACCTGCACGTGGATGTTTAGATCAGCTTTCTTCATGATTGCCAAAACTTGGAAGCAACCAAGATGACCTTCAGTAGGTGAACTGTGGTACATCCAAGCAGTGGAGTGTTACTTAGTGCCAAAAAGAAATGAGCTATCAAGCCAGTCTGAAAAGGCTACATACTATATGATTCTGACTATGTGACATTCTGGAAAAGGCAAAACAATGGAGACAGTGCAAAGATCAGTGATTGCTGAGTTGGGGGGTGGAGAGGGATGAGTAGGTGGAGCACAGAGGATATTTAGGGCAGCGAAACCACTCTGTCTGATACTGTTATAGTGGACACATGTCCAGACTAATAGGACATGCAACACCAGGAGGGAATCCTGATGTACACCATAGACTCTGGGTGAGGATGATGTGTCCGTGTAGGTCCATCGGTTGTAACAAATGTCCTGCTTTCGTCGGGGGTGTTGATAATGGGGAGGGAGGCTGTGCATGTGTGGGGGCAGAGGGTATCTGGAAAGTCTCTGTACCTTCCGCTCAGTTCTGTTGTGAACTGAAATGACTTTAAAAAGTAAAGTCTGTTAAAAAAAAAAACTATTCATGATATTTGTCCCCCTGTAGATTATTTAAGTATTTGAGCGCAGCCATGATATAATCTCTTGGAAAATTACCTTCTCTTTAGAGGAGGAGCTGTGTCATGAATCATCTGTAAACTTGCCCTTACCCTCAGGAAGGGCCTCAGATCCAGCAGCTAGCTCATTTCCATTTTCATTTCACATATGGCATTTCTGTGTTGGTAAGTGAAAACAGAGTAGCTAACAAACTTCGCCTAAGTTATTTGGAATAGCTTCCCCAGTGAAAAGGCAAGCCTCAGGGAAACAAATAGGAATTTTCAAATTAGCTACTGATTTTTTTTTTTTTTTTTTTTTAGTATTTTTATACTAAAAGGTTAGTGTATAGGCCTCTGATATTATTTCCAGATCTCTGAAAAGTGACTTTGCAGGCAAAATGTGTATGGTAAGAATTATTGCATTCATAAATAGTTTAAGTCATTAATCTGGTCTTAAAGGCATGGGAGTGAGTATATACAAAAGGTTAAAAAAAGTGAAATAAGGCAACCGGGTCTTTTTTGTTTAAATATCATTAAAACCAGATTTAAAATATAGATTTCTAGTAACAGAATTGGTGCTTTTAATTTTATTCTTTCACATTGGCTGGAAGGCTTAAAAATGAATCAAGATCCCAAAGTTAAAAAGTTGTAGACTTTGAACTCTGTCTGAAGGTTGACTCAGATGCATAACTATTTCATTGAAATCCATTACTGGGTCCTTCAGTTTTAGCAAACTTTATAATCATGATCTTATTCCACATTACCATGTGGCATATACTGTGTATTCAGCAAAATCCCATTGATTATACTTAGTAGGTAGGACTGTTGTTTAATATACAGTTTCTTTTCAGGCTGCAGTGTTAATATAATGTATACCTAAATTGGGATATTTGTCAATGCTATAACTTTTTTACATGAATGAATACTTTTTTGGTAGGCACATTTCTTCTGTTATACATCAGTTTTGATATTCAGGTGTTTTATATCCCAAACTAATTGAACACTTCTCATCTGTAGGTCCTAACATTTGGCTAGAGTATGGCCAGTACTCAGTTGGTGGGATTGGTCAGAAAGGTGGCCTGGAGAAAGTTCGCTCTGTGTTTGAGAGGGCCCTGTCATCCGTCGGTTTGCACATGACCAAAGGACTCGCCATCTGGGAGGCTTACCGAGAGTTTGAAAGTGCGATCGTGGAAGCTGCTCGGGTGAGTGGCCCATGCTTGCCTCCGCATGGGCAGGGGCTGTCTTTATAAGTTGCCTTGGAAGTATTATTTTGAAACAAATGGTTAAGATATGACAGTCAACATAGTTAACAAAATGGTCTTTGCCAGTCCCTTAGCGAATGGTGAATAAAATAAATAAAATTAGTATTCTTTGTGGAAAATAGCAAGAATGATTTCTTTTTAATTAAAAGCAGATGACTCTATGATTTTTTTCTGATATTTAAAAATACTACTGCTTTAGTTACATAGTTCCAGATAAATGTACAAGAATAACCATGTCACTCAAAAAAAGAATCATGTCTAATTGTAACTATGAGGGGCAATTTGACTTCATCATAATTGCATTTTTTTAGACTATGATTTATACAACTTTACAGCTGTGTTCCCTCTTCCTTATGTTTGTGTACATGTGGACAGTTATTACTGATACATGGTGGGGCCCTTTAATAGGTAGATCGTTGTTAATAAAGTGGCCCCAGTCATTATGGTTACCCCCCTGTTCAAAAATCTGCAGTGGTGTCTTCAACTTACCCTGAATAAGGCAACAGGGTTAATACCTTTGCATTGGTGGCTCTCTCTAGTATGAGGCACGATCTCTGCATGGACTCAGTCCCCCAACGCTCTTGCATTTTCTTGCCACTGTACTTTTTCTGGTTATATTCCTTCAATTAGGAGTCAGTTTCTTTCTCTCACTACCTCTGGGAGCCTGCAGATGCGTCCTAGATGCCAGCTCCTCCAAGAGTGTTTCCTGATTTCCTCCTTCCTTAATAACAACTCACCCCTAGAAACCCACGTAAAGCAAGCCATGGGATACTCTCATCCGTATGAGATTTTATTTTTATGATACTTACATTCTGCCTCAGTATAGTAATTTGGATACATTTGTTACGTAAGAGTATAAGAATAAGAATATCCTGTTTTTCTCTCCTTGCCATAAACATTTAGAGGCAGAGATACCATTTATTTTTGTACTGCGTTCAGCATTTGGCCTGATACCTCATACATGAGGCCATGGACATTTTTTTAGTTTGAACTGAAAATTTGTTGAGATATATTTTGAAGTAGAAAGAACCAAAGTTTGTCATTTACTACTGATTTGCTTCTTTAGCCCATAGCTGGCTTCCTTTCCCCTTTTGACCGGGAACAAACCTTTGATTCACAGCTTGAGAAAGTCCACAGTCTCTTCCGGCGACAGTTGGCGATCCCACTTTATGGTAAGAGAAACTGACACGTCGGTAGCCTGCCCTTGGTGGGTTTTTAAAATGCTTTATTTAGGGTGTGTCGTGTGCCTAGACCCTTCCCAGCATTGTGTGCGGCAGGTGGGGCTGGTGTCCTCATTGTCCAGGTGGGGCTGGTGTCCTCATTGTCGCTGGGTGCCGTCCTGCTGGGCGATGTCCTTGGTGAAAGCAGATCTTGAACTGTTGATGCTCAGCAATTCAGAGGCAGGACTAGGAGCCAGGCTCCGCGCCTCTGGTGAGATCTCTCTGCAGCCATCAGACACTGTTGGAAAGGTGGAGATAAGGGTCTGTGAAAGGAGCAGGGAAACTGACTCCCTGTATTTTGTGGGGAAACTTTATTGAGTGAGAGTTCCATTACAAGCATTTTTTTCTTCAGGAGTAACCTTTTCCATAACGGGGAGTTTTACATGGGCCACATGTGGGTGTGGTTTGGTTCATAAGTACAGTTGATTGTAAGTATTCATATCTGTATTTCCTACAGTTTGGGAGTTCTCCTTTTTGGCGAATTTATTTTGGCAGGCCAAGCCTTTCAGGCTCTGCAGCTGTGTGCCTGAGCACTGGGGGCAGTTTTCTGAGCATGGGAGGGGTTTGGCACTGCTGCCTTGTTCGTTCCTGAAGCATGGTCATGTATTGTGCGTACTCAGAGCCTCTGGGTGACCTTACTGGATCCTAGGTCTGCTTTTCATGGTTTATTTGGATTCCACAAATTATAAAGTGGGTCTCCGACTGAATCCTTGGTGACATGCAGAAAGGCTAGAACTGAGCTGGCTGTAGATTTCATCTCGCATACCAAGGTGAGACAGCTTAGCCTAGTGATTGGAGTGTGAACTTGAACCAGATTGCCTGGGTTCAAAGCCTTGCTCTACTATTAAACTGTAGACAAGTGACTTAACCCTCTGCTTCGGTTTCTTCAACTGTAAAATGAGGATCTCACTAGAGCCTACCTTGCTGATGGCGAGGATTGGATGAGTTAATGGATGTGAAGTTTTAGAACGTAGGAAGCAACAGGTAAGTGTTGCTGATGGTGTCGTCGACTCTGATTAATTAGCTGGTAGGTTTGCCTAGGACATTGTTTTTTGAGATTCTAAGGCCAAGCCTGGGCTCAGAACAATGCAGAATATGATCAGTGATGGCTGCCATGGCCACAGAGGTGGGAGGGGCTCGTGGTATCTGAGTCGCACAGTTGAATGTATGTTCCAGTTGGTAAAAGCCAGTGGCAAGACCCACGGGGCTGAATCCATCTTTCGATAGATATGGAGGCCACGTTTGCAGAGTATGAGGAATGGTCAGAAGACCCAATACCAGAGTCTGTAATTCAGAACTATAACAAAGCACTGCAGCAGTTGGAGAAATACAAACCCTATGAAGAAGCGCTGGTGAGTGTTGGCTTCTTTTATACTCATCTTCTCTCTACAAACATTTCCCTGATTGATAGTTGCAAATTAAACAGTATCTTTAAAATTTGTTTTATTGTAAAATATATAGAGTGTATAAATGTCTACATACAGTTTACATACTAATAATAAAGTGAACATCCATGTACCCACCACCCAGGTTAAGAAATAGAACATTGCCAGTACCTTAGAAGTCTCCTACTATGTGCCCCTCTCCGATTGCCTCCTCCTCCCTCTCCCGAGAGGTAATCACTTTCCTGACTTTTGTGATAATCATTCCCTTGCTTTTCTTTATAGTTTTACAACCTATGAACATATCCTTAATTAATATATTGTTTAATTTTGCTTGTTTTTGACCTTTTATATAATGGAATCATGCTGTATGTTTTCATCCAACATGGTTTTGGGTTTTCCTCATGTTGCTAAGTACAGTTACAGTGTATTTTGTTTTCACTGCTAGAAAGTTGTCTGTTATTACCACAATGTAAATAGTTACATGGATAGTTGGGTCACTTCCCTTTTCTGCTAGGAGGAGCAGTGTTGCCCTGAACATTCTTGTACGTATCTCCTGGTACACATGGAAAAGAGTTGATCTAGAATATATATTAGGGAAGAAAGTGCTGGAGCATAGGGTAATGCTACAGTGTTTTGCAGGTTATGAGTTTGCACTTGAGCCAGCAGTATCTGAGCGTCCTCATTGCTCATGCCGCTCTTGGATATTGACGTACTGCAGCCAGTCTGATGAGTCTGAAATTGTAGTTTTAATCCGTATTTTCCTGGTTGCCGATGGAGTTGAGCTGCTTTTCTTATGTGTTGGCCATTAGTATTTTCTTTTTTTGAAAGTCTTTAACCCATTTTTCTTTTGATTTGTCTTTTTTTCTAATCGATTTATGGAAGTCCTTGGTCTTAATCCTTATTTTCAGTCATATGTATGGCAGATTTCACCCCGTTTGTTGCTTGTCTTTTCACTTTTTTAAATATTGTCTTTTGGTGGACACTTCTTAATGATAAATCCTGTTAAGTCTGAAATTTTTTACTTATTGTTTGTGCTTTTGTTGTGCTTATTGAAGAATCTCCCCTATTCTGAGGTCTTTAGTATATTTAGCTCTATTTTCTTCTGAAAGTTGTATAGTTTTTTTTATTTCATGTTTAGGTCTTCACCCACCTGGAATTGATTTTTTGTGTATGGTATAAGGCTGGGTCGAGCTTCATTTTTCTGTACGGAAAACCAATTGTTCTAGCACTGAGTTTGATAATTCCATCCTCCCCTCACTGATGTGCAGTGCCACATCTGTGCAGTGCCCCCTCTGTCATAGATCAGGTGTCCATTTATGTGTGGGTCATCCTTCTTGGGTTCTCTATTCGGTCCCACCGCTTTATATTATACTATCATAATGACGAGATGTTTTAATCTAGGATAGCATGAATCCGTCTACCTTGTTCATCTTCAGGGGAGTCTTGGCTTTTGTTACCCCTTAATGCTTCCATCAGATTTAGAATCAGCTTTTCAGTTCTATTTTATTAAACTGTTGAGTTTTTTATTGGGATTACATTGAATCTGTAGACCAGTTTGGGGAAGAATTTACATCTTCTGTCTTCCAACCTGTATAGGTGTCTGCTATTTAGATCTTGTTCTTCTGTAAAGCTTTATAATAATTTTATAAATGTATCCAATGTCTTCAACACATTTTTTAGATGAGTTTTTAAGTGTTTTTTTTTTTTGTTTGTTTTGTTTTGTTTTGGAGACAGGATCTCACTTTGTAGCCAAGGCTGGAGTGCAGTGGCCTCCCTATAACTCACTGCAGCCTTGACTCCTGGGCTCAAGTGATCCTCCCGCCTCAGCCTCCTGAGTAGCTGGGACTATAGGTGCATACTACCATGCCCGGCTGCTTTTGTTTTGTTAGTTATCTTTTTGTTTGGCCCACTGGGCATCATTTTTAATAGAGCATTATACAGTCACAGTTTAAATTTGCTATGTGCCTTTCCTGCTTTCTTTGTTCTTCATTCCTTCTTGTATCCTAGGTCTTTCATCTGGAATCACTTTTCTTTTGCTTGAAGTACACCCTTTGGCATCTCCTTGCATAGGAGATTTGCTGGTAACAGATTTTTTCAGTCTCAAAAGATCTTTGCTCTCCTCTTGAAAATTATTTTCTTAGGCTTTAGAATTCTAGACTAACAGTTACGTTCTCTCAGCAATTGAGTATTTCTGTCTTCTGGCCTCTCGTTGCTGTTGAGAAGTCAGGTGCTTAACTCTTGCTTCTTTGAAGGTAATCACCTTCAAGTGATTACCTTTGAAGGTAATCACCTTCAAAGTGATTTTTTTTCCCTCTGCTTTTAAAAGATCTGATTGGTTTGGTTTGATGTCCTGCAACTTCATTACAGTAGGTCCAGATGTTAATGGCTTGAGGTTTTTTAGATTTCTTGACTCTGTTTCTGGAATCTTTCTTGGCATAGTAAGAGCACAGACTCTCAGAGTCAGGCTGCTTCAAGTTTGCATTCCAGCTCTGCCCCTCGCCAGCTCTCTGACTCCAGGCCACTACTTCACCTCCCCGTGCCTCAGTTTCCTTAATGTAAGGAGGGGATAGTGCTGAGACCTGTTTCATAGGACTGCTGTGAAGATGTTACTGTATGTTAAGACAGCAAAAGCTTAACCTTCACTTAGCTTCCCATCTTTACTTAGGTTTTTTCCTTATTAGTATTTCTTGTTTATTTTTGCCAGTTTGTTGATTTTTTTCTCTTTTCTTTTCTTTTCTTTTCTTTTCTTTTCTTTCTTTTCTTTTCTTTTCTTTTCTTTTCTTTTCTTTTCTTTTCTTTTCTTTTCTTTTCTTTTCTTTTCTTTTCTTTTTTTTTTTTTTTGAGACATGGTCTCACTCTGTTACCTGGGCTGGAGTGCAGTGGCATCATCATAGCTCACTGTAATCTCAAACTTGTGGGCTCAAGTGATCCTCCTCCTGCCTCAGCCTCCTGAGTAGCTGGAAGTATAGGTGCATGCCACCATGCCTGGCTAATTTTGCTGTTTCTTTGTAGAGACGGGATCTTGCTCTTGCTCAGGCTGGAGCTGATGATTTTTAAGGAGATGGTTTTTATATTTAAGCTAGCCATTTTAGTTGTCTTCAATGTCACAGTGTGTCTGGGTAACTAATTCGCCATTGTTACTGGAGATTGAGGCTCTAAAACATTGTCTTTCTACATACTGAGCATGTGTGATCTCTTGCTCACCTGTACACACTCCCTCTCCCTTTCTTTTTCACATGTAAACGTTTTGTACGTACGTACTTGTGTTTCACAAAGCCTCATTCAGCTCAATTTTGTCATGGTTATCTCAAGCAGAGCATGGCTAAAGAGAAAAGCAGTTGAATAAGAGGTTTTTGTCTAAAAGGAATTAGTGTGTCTTTGGATCAGTAGATATTCAGCACAGCCTCCTCCATCTTCTGCATGTGCCTACATTCTTACAGGAACTGGTGTTTGGAATGGGAAACCTGCAAGTTTCTCCAGTTTGGTTGCATTCACTCCACTCAGTAGACCAAGAAAGAGGCTTCTGTTTTGGAAAGATGGTTAGCAGTGGTCATTGGCAAAGGTGTTTGCTTTTTCCTTCAGTTCCTCATGGATGGGCGATTTAAATTCCCTGTGGTCTGGGAAAGGATTTAGAAACGGGTTTATGGCGCCTACGTAACTATTGCCATGAAGCGCCACTTTGGGTCAGATGGGAAAGAGTCTCTCTCGTTCTTTCCTCAAATTCTAGATCCCATTGTGGAAATTATAGATTCTGTTGTGGAGTAGCTCTGAAAGTGAGACTTGGTGATTCTTACGTTGCTGTAGCCAGTCTTGTCAAAACTTGTTTTATTTGAAGATGTGTTGTGCCTCCTGACATAGTATCAAGTAACTAAATTCAACTTCACTGCACTTTTCCTGTGCTCCAGCTGCAAGCAGAGGCACCCAGGCTGGCGGAATACCAAGCATATATTGATTTTGAGATGAAAATGGGCGATCCCGCTCGCGTTCAGCTGATCTTTGAGCGTGCCCTGGTCGAGAACTGCCTTGTTCCAGACTTGTGGATCCGTTACAGTCAGTACCTAGTAAGATAACTGTTCTAATTTCATTTTATTTTTACCAGTGTATAAATCTATTTGAAGCAAATCGGTGAGAGTGCCAGGAGTCGGTTGCATGCTGCTGTACTCTGCTTTTTCTCACTTTTTCTCGTCTTCCTTTCTTCTTCTTTGCAAACTTGTTTAGGAAGTTTTCTTAGTATTTGAAGTTATTTTAAAATGGTTACTAATTGGAAAAAAATTGCGTTATTGTCTTAACTATATTGTGAACTTCATAACAGATTGATTTTTTTCTTTTAATTTTCATTGTGGAAAAATATAAACATGTAAAAGACACATTACAGTAGTAAAATGAAACCTCATGTACCCATCACCCAGCTTCAACAATGAACAATTAGGGCTCTAGTCTGCTTTTGTCTTTATTTTTTATTTTTTATTTTTTTTTGAGACAGAGTCTCGCTTTGTTGTCCAGGCTAGAGTGAGTGCCGTGGCGTCAGCCTAGCTCACAGCAACCTCAAACTCCTGGGCTCGAGAGATCCTCCTGCCTCAGCCTCCCAAGTAGCTGGGACTACAGGCATGCGCCACCATGCCCGGCTAATTTTTTTTATATACATATCAGTTTGGCCAATTAATTTCTTTCTATTTTATAGTAGAGACGGGGTCTCGCTCTTGCTCAGGCTGGTTTTGAACGCCTGACCTTGAGCAATCCACCCGCCTCGGCCTCCCAGAGAGCTAGGATTACAGGCGTGAGCCACCGCGCCCGGCCTTGCTTTTGTCTTTATTCTTACCTACTTCCCCCTTCTGTGTTATTTTGAAGCAAATCCAGAAATCATATTTAATTGGTAAATATTTCAGTGTATATATATAAAATATTTCACCCTGTATTTACGTATAAAAGGAGCCAAGTGAGGTCCCTCCGTTAGCATTGGCTGATGTCTCTTAAGGCTGTTCTAATGTGTAAGTTCCCCTTCTCCCTCTCTCTTCTTCCCTACCCCCAGCGATTGCTGTTTTGAAGAAACCATGCCACAAGAGACAGTTTTAAGGAAATTTCTTTTTGTCAGTTGTGCTGGCAATGTCTTGTTGATGGTAAAGTCTTAACAATATGATTTTGTCTCCTAACTCTGGCATTCTTTCTCACAGGATAGGCAGCTGAAAGTGAAGGATTTGGTTTTATCTGTTCATAACCGCGCCGTTAGAAACTGCCCCTGGACGGTTGCCCTGTGGAGTCGGTGCCTCTTGGCCATGGAGAGACACGGAGTTGATCATCGAGTGATTTCTGGTGCGGATATTTCTGTGGAAAGACTACTTCTAAGCTTTTGGCCCCAAGTGAGGAACAAAGAGCTATGGCGAAGTCATTAAATCAGCATTTCCCAGGATTTTCTTTGGGATATGGAGTATTAGTGACAAAAAGGGCTCTAAAAGGGAGATAAACTGGTTATATTTTTGGCTTTCAGAGTTCTCTAACATGCCAATATTCATTGTGATTTTCTAAGAAGCTGTAGTCTTTTCTCCAAACTTACCTGACTTGGAACTCTTGTTGCAGGGTGGCTTGTGGAACGAGTCCTTTCTAGAACATAGTCTTTGCAGTGTGTAGTAGCTTCTCTTTTGAACATTCCTCTCTAGCTTATATTATTATTTTAAAAAGTCATGTACTGTCTTATAGCTAGTAGAGTTTGGTAACTTTTTGGCAGCTTATTTTTGAATTGGCAACAGATCCTGACTTTTTCCCCCAATTCCAGTAACGTTTGAGAAAGCTTTGAATGCTGGCTTCATCCAGGCCACTGACTATGTGGAGATTTGGCAGGCGTACCTTGATTACCTGAGGAGAAGGGTGGATTTCAAACAAGGTATTTAAGTGCGTGCATTGCACCTCAGAACTGAACTTTCCTTAACACATCCTGTAGTGAGATGACCCAGTTTCTCAAATACATTGTGATTGGGCACATGTTGGCCACCAGCTGTTGGTAACTTTTGCCCCAGAAATGTTAGCAGTTTATGTCTTTAACAGTTCCTGCTGTGGATTGTAAAGGAAGAGAAGAATGGTCCTCTGGTTTTTATGCTGGCTCCTGCCAGCATCTTTATTTTATTTCTCATTTCTCCCTTCTGGCCTTTTTACATATCCAAAATCGTTCTTGAAATAAGACCTCTGTTATTTTTAGTCTTTGAACTCTGCAAGATCCTCTGGCCCCCCTCCTCACAAAGCAACTGGAACACTCCTAACTTGTGCTTGCACACTCATGGCAGCTGCTACCTCATGCAGGTGGCCTTCAGCCGTTCTCCCTACTGTCTGCCCGTGTCACTCCAGCTGGGGGGACCCCCGTCTGCTGCGATCCCACCCACAGTACCCTGTGTTCACCTTTGTCATTGTACCGTCTGTACTGTACTCAGTTCCAGTTTCTTTCTCCTCCAGTACGTGATGAGGGCAGGAACTGGCAGTACTATTTATGTGTCCCCTGCATGATGGCAGGTACACAGTGGGTCTCCCGGCACTTTCAGTGTAGGATTAAAAATAGAGGTGTTCTACATGGTTTCATAAAAGTGGTTTTTTTTTTTTTTTTTTTTTTGCACTTTCCAACAGACTCCAGTAAAGAGCTGGAGGAGTTGAGGGCCACATTCACTCGTGCTTTGGAGTATCTGAAACAGGAGGTAGAAGAGCGTAAGTATGGCTCTAACCTGCTGTTTTGCCCTGTTGTATTTCTTGTTCTTGGTCGATGTCCGTTTTCAGTCAAAGGCTATTTGTCTCTAAATTGCTCTCTAATTTTGACTAACTCCATTCTTGCAGGTTTCAATGAGAGTGGTGATCCAAGCTGCATGATCATGCAGAACTGGGCTAGGATTGAGGTAAATGTTTTGGACAGATCTGTCAGTTTCATTCACCTTTGAAGGACCTTTGTATAATAGTGTCCTATTAAACATAAATTAAAATTGAATCAGAATCCAGGTAATGGCCTGGACTCTGCAAGGATTCATGCTATTTGCCTAGCCTGGTGTGTGTTCGTTTATATCTTGGTGAAACTGTTAGCTCCCAGCTTGTGCAGCAAATGTCTGAATGCCAGCTATTCACTCATTTCTCTCCATCTCTCCTCATCGCTGCATTTGTGAGATTGTAATGGGTGTGTACTGTTTGCCAGCACCGTACTAGGTGCTGGGGGCATAAGATAGACTCAGTCCCTGTGCTGTCAGCTAGTGTAGAAGACAAACGATAGTGACAAATCACCGGGGACACCAAGATGAGTAAGACACAGAACCTGCCCTTGGTCAGCTGGTAGAATTGTAAAATTCTAATCATGTTTTGTCCTCTGAGGGGAAGTGAGGTTAAAGAAACTAACATTTGTCAGATAGTTTTGTTCGTGGGATATTTGTGTTGTAACCATTTTAAAGATGAGGAAACTGAGGCTCAGAGAAGTTACATAATTTGCCCAAGTTTGTAAGTGCCATTTAATACTAGATCAATCTTTTTCTATATTGCCTCTTAAATGAAACACTTGTAGTTAAGTCTGATAAAAATAAAAAATATCAAATTACAACATGGTGAGAGAGAGAGGGGGAAAAGTCCCTAATGACCATCCAGTAGTTGAGTGCCATGGGTTCCCGGCTCTCTTCTCAAGAGGGGAAGGCAGACAGTTCGAGGCTTGCACTGCAGAAAGGCTGGAGTGGTTGGGCTGGCCCTGTTACCACGGGAGGGAGGCCTGTGGGTTTATGTGACACCGCTAGTTAGGCTGTTTGGAGTATATTTTGAGACAGGTGTCGATGTCATATGGTTTGGGTCTTTTCCTAACTGAGTCTACTAATGCATTTTAGGCTCGACTGTGCAATAATATGCAGAAAGCTCGGGAACTCTGGGATAGCATCATGACCAAAGGCAATGCCAAGTATGCCAACATGTGGCTTGAGTATTACAACCTGGAAAGGTAACTTACTTGAGGGTGGGGGAACGAGGTGGGCTTATCAGGTGTGCACCTGTCTTTAGTCCTAGCTGTCCCCTATCAGCTTGGGCTTGCTCCTTAGAAAAAGGCTGTCTTCCTTCATTCTGGCTCTTTTTGTTCGTGAGTGTATTTTTATTGAGCAGGGCTAGAGGACCAGACATATTTGGTGCCTGGGGCTCTTATAGCCATGCATTTCTTTTTATTTCTTTTTGTTTGTTTTGAGTTTTGGACATGAATGTTTATTTGATTTTGGGGGGGAGGTATTTATTTTTTATTATATTGGCTTTTCTATTAACAGAAAAATAGAAAATACTAAAAAGCAAAGAAAAAACCTCATATTACTTGCAATCACTGACCCATACATAACTACTGTTAGTTTATGGTTTGGGGTATATTCTTCAAGACTCTTCTATGCTTAAAGTTTTTTTAAATAAAAATGCACGGATAACATACATGTTATAAACTTTTGAACTATTTAAATTAAATAAGATACTCCCACGTAATATTTTTAACATGGGGAAAATATAAAGAATATGACCAGCTTTTCTATTCAATATATTGTGAACATTATAGATTGAATAAATATATTTCTACATTGCCTTTTTTCTTTTTTGAATATTTTGGTTTTTCCCATATTAAATGTGTGTTCAAAATAAGATACTCCCACGTAATATTTTTAACATGGGGAAAATATAAAGAATATGACCAGCTTTTCTATTCAATATATTGTGAACATTATAGATTGAATAAATATATTTCTACATTGCCTTTTTTCTTTTTTGAATATTTTGGTTTTTCCCGTATTAAATGTGTGTTCAAATTAAAGTCACAATTTTTACAAATATATGTGCTAGTCATTTTTTTTAGTCCCACCTCCAGAGATGATCACTATGCAGGCTGGTTGAATATTCTAGATCAGAAGTTCTCAAATTTTTTTGGTCTCAGGACCCCTTTGCACTCTTAAAATTTAAGGACCCCCAAGAGCTTTTGTTTATGTGAGTTATATCTATTGCTATTTACCATGTTAGAAAATAAAACTGAGAAATTTTGAAAGTATTTTTTAATTAATACACTTAAAAAATAGTAAATCTATTAAACTTAACATAACTTATTTTTTTGAAAAATGACTATGTTTTTCCAAACCTCAAAGTAATTTAGAAAAGTGGCATGGTTTTTTTACTTTTGCAAATATCTTTAGTTAGTCTGGCTTAGAGGAGACAGCTGAATTCTCATATCTGTTTCTGCATTCAGCCTATTATGATGTATTTTTGTTTATTGAAGAATATATAAAGATAATTTGGCTTTACACAGATAGGGTAGAGAAGAATGTTTTTTAATAGCCTTTTCAGTTGATTGTGGATATTCTTCTTTCACACTATAGCAAAACTCAACAAGTGATAGTTTCTTAAAGGTTAGTTGCAATGTGGAATCTGAAACCATATTAATGAATTTCTCCAATTCTGTTACATTAATATCCATTTGTCTATTTTGCACTTTGAATGGACCTTTTACCTTTTACATGATGCCGTAATTCTGTGGCATCACAAGTTATTCATTTGGGAAATCCTGATTCACTAAATCATGTCGCTCTTCCAAATGTTGACGTGTTTTATTCTACAGTATAAAAAATCATATTTGTTCGCATCCACGCTTATCTTAGTAGAAAAGTCTTTTAAATAGGAAGCTGTCAAAGTCACAGTGGCAAATTCCAGTTTTGCAAAATTCTAATTTTCACTTGAAAGCTTGAATTTTATCACTTCTAACAAATAATGTCAGTGGATTTCCTTGAAGTGACAGACTCTTTTAGTTTTTGAAAATGTCTGCCAGATACTCAGGTCTGAGTAACCATAGTTTGTCACTCAGATGTTCTTTTAAGTAAAATGCTGTCTACGAGAAGAGTGACTAGATCAGTTTGCAACTCACAAAATAATACATGCTTTTCTTTGCAGTAACCATTGTACTTAAGTATGGAGAAGAAGGGCTTTATGAAGTGGTTTAAGAAGTACTTCCCATTTTTATCACACAGAATATTAAAAAGATGTGTACTGTCTTGATTTGTGTTAAGGGCCAGCATTGCTTTTGCACCATTGTGCAAATGTCACCATAGTGAACATAATAATACCTTGGTATTCTTATAAAAGGAATTTTGACTCTGCAAGACCTCTGGAGAGGGTCTTGGAGACCTTCAGGGGTATGTGGATCATACTTTGAGAACAGGTGCTCTGAATTTTTTTCTGAGTATCCTAGTACATATTTACAATATGTATATTTTCAGTGTTTTAAAAATAGAAATGAGAATCTACTGTTTCATAACTGTTACGACTAATAGAATTGTTTTATACCTGTTGTGATTAACAGTATCTTTCCATGTGGGTACATCAAGATCTGACTCGAGGCATGAAATAGGGCAGTCCCTTGGATTAGTGATTCTCCCCTCGGGTAGGATTGAATAATAGAATTTCTTGAGGGACTTTATCAAGTACACAGAGTTGTTGGGCACCACTCCTCCCTCCCCTGGCCACATATTACAATGCAAAAGCTGTAAAGGCAGAAAACCTGGTTGCATACCATGGTCCTAGGTGCATTTTCCAGAAGCACCTAGCTGGCTAGGGGGAAGGGAAAGCCTGCCTTTGTGTGTGACTGTAGGAACTCTAGTGAAAGAAGGAGAGAACATTGTGGATGGTTCTGAAAACTTGGGTCTCCTCAGAAGCTGGAGTCCTCAGAGAGCTGCTGCCTGCGAGAAGGCAGCCTCTCCCTTCGCACGCCGTCCACTCTGTGTCCTCCTGCAGCAACCGTTTGTTTTCTGCTTAGGGCACATGGCGACACGCAGCACTGCCGGAAGGCTCTGCACCGGGCCGTCCAGTGCACCAGTGACTACCCGGAGCACGTCTGCGAAGTGTTGCTCACCATGGAGAGGACGGAAGGTGGGACCCTCGGCTCTCTTCTGGCGTGGAGTCTGACCCATTCGTTGTTTGGCCTCAAGCAGCAGCTTCTGGTTATAGTCTGTGAGGACAGAGTGCATTTACGGCCACCACGCCTCAAGTGGTGCTCTGTGCAATCAAAACACACACCACAGCTCTTGTCAAGAGTTTCCAGCCACTAGGGAGGACTCTGATGTAGCTATAGCACAGGGGTGCTCGTAATTCTTTGTGGTGAGGGCTGTGCGCTGTAGGTTGTTTCGTGGCATCCCTTGCCTTTACCCACTAAATGCTAGTAGCAACCCTCCCTGCCCCAGCTAAATGTGACAACCAAAAATGTCTGCAGACGTTACCAAATGTCCCTTGGTCGGCAAGATCCCCCTAGTTGAGAACAACTGCTCTAGTGCAGTGTCTGCTCAGCAGAGGAGCTCAGAGAGGCCAATGGCTCAGCGTGTTCTTTGGTCATGCAGGCATCCCTTGTCACATTGCAGAGCCTTCAATGTTATGTTGCAGAACTAGAACTGTTTTTCCTATTTCCAATAGGAAAATAGTATGAATTTATTCATGAGCATGAGTCTGGATTTTGGCTTTGAATCCCACAGAACTGGGGTTCAACAATTCAAACAACAAAAAAGAAAAAAAAAACATCTCAACATTTGAGTAGCTCTTGAAGTTCTTCAGTCTTAATATAAATGTATTGTACCTTTGTAGTAGAATATTTTCATAATTTTTGCCATTGAGAGCCCTTAATAGATCATATTGGTTTTCAAGTGTCTTTTCTGAAAGAGAAGAGACATTTTAAACACACTTAGACGATTTGGATTCTAAACTTAAAGCCTATGCGAATTAAATTTTCTGAAAGTGAAGAGCTGGCTCTCCAGTTCTTGTCTGGTGGGAGGGCTCTCTTCAGAAAGTGCACAGCAATGAAGAAAGTTTTATGTTCTATCTTTCAAAAACCTAAAGAATGAAAGTTTTGCTTCTCTATCAAGGTACTTTAGAAGATTGGGATCTAGCTGTCCAGAAAACGGAAACTCGATTAGCTCGTGTTAACGAGCAGAGAATGAAGGTAATGGTGACACTTACTTAAAGTCTTTGAAACTTCTGGTACCTATCTTGGCTGTGTTTGTATGGATATTTCTTGTCAATAACTTCTAGGTTTTCATAAGCATCTTTTACTCACAACATTAATTGCAAAATATTTAATTCAATATTTAAGCCTGTCTTACGTCATCTAAAAAGATTGGTCTAAAACTTTAGCCCCAATATACTTTTTTAACATTGTGAGGGAATTTTGGCTTTAAAATTGGTTGGAATAGATGGAGAAGAATTAAAAGGAGCCTCACTTAGTCTAGTTAGCGGAACATGAGTACCCCCAACTTAATCAGGGCCCCAGTTTTATAGATTATTTTTCCTTCTTTTTGGCAGTTAATGACTATGGTGGGGATATTGCTAACATTCCGTAGACTTGAGATCCAGAATCCTGAGCCCCAGTGGTGGAAAGTTGGGAGCCTGTGCTCCCCGTCCTCCTGGTCCCTTCTTTTCATCTGGGCAGTGGCTTCCCACTCCCTCTCTCCTTTCTGCACAAGTCAGTCTAGGGAACGTAATGATGTATCCTGCTTCTAGGCTGCAGAGAAGGAAGCTGCCCTCGTGCAGCAGGAAGAAGAAAAGGCTGAGCAGCGCAAGCGGAGCCGGGCCGAGAAGAAAGCGCTGAAAAAGAAGAGGAAGACCAGAGGCGCAGATAAGCACCAAGCGGATGAGGACGATAAGGAGTGGGGCGACGATGAAGAAGGTAAAGGGCTCTTTAGAAATTGCAGTTTGAAATGTCTCAGACTTTCAGAGGAGTTCCAAAACCTTTTTCCATGAACTGCTTGAGAGTGAGTTGCCGTCACCCTTGGATTACGGTAAGGTTTGTGCCTTCTCTGTGACTACAGGCTACCCGTCCCAGTCAGAGTTAACATGACCCATCACTGTCATCCAACCCGTAGACCCCATTCGTGGTCAGCCATCTGTCCTAGTACTGTCCTTTATGGGGGAAGGAGCCTGTTCAAGGACTGTTGTGTTTAGTTGCCCTATCTCTTGAATCTCCTTCAGTCTGGAACATTCCTTGGTCCTTTTTTTTTTGGACTCTTATGACCTGGACACTTTTGAAGAGGACAGGCCAGTTACTTTGTAGAATGTCCCTCAGTGTGGGTGTGCCTGATGCTCCTTTGTGATTGGATTCAGGTCAGTTGTCTTTGCAGGGAACAGCACACAAGTGATGCCATATCCTTCTCATTGAGTCCCATCATTGTTCTCTGTGTGGTCATGGTGACTTTGGTCACATGACTAAGGTGTCTGCCTTCTTCACTGTGAAGTAAGTTCTCTTCCCCTTTGAAATTACGAAGTATTTTGATGGGTATTTATCTAGTACTTTGAGACTAGATAAATGCCCTTCCCATCAAACTTCCAAATGGCTTGTCTTTTTATATATATTATATGGATTCATAGTTTCCCATTTTCTTCCAAAGTCATAGTCTGTTACCATGATTAAGTTGATGCTCTGCTTTCCAGGTTTGGCTAGCAAGAGTTCCATCAGACAGGCTTTTGTGTCACTTTGACCTGTCCCCTAATCCTCTGATCACTTCATTACTTTCTGGTACACCCTGGGCGGACCTGCTTCGCTTGGCCTGCCTTATGGTTTTGACTTGGCAGAATTTTCCAGCCAGTGTTTCCATTGCCCATGTAGTTTCAGGGAGAGGTGGGAATTGGTCTAATTTATTTCAGCCGAATCTGTCCAGGCAAAGAATTGTCTCTATGATCACAACCAGTTACAGATTCCGTTGTTCCTTCTCTACTCCCACTGCTTCTTCACTTGACCAGCCTTTAAAAAAAAAATTGTAGACATTCAAGGTCTCTGCGTTTCCCTAGTACAGGTGTGTGAGCCAGAGCAACCGGTGACGGAGTTGTCATTCAGTTGACCTTCCTTGCACACCTTGTTTGGGCCTTGCTGAATGACTCAGGGTGGCTCACTGTCCCTCAGAGCTCCCAGATTAGCAGGATAAGGCACATGTGTGACTGCAGTGGCTGTTGCCAGTCTGGACGGTGGGAGATGGAGCTGTGAGTTGTGCTGGAGCCCAAAGAAGGCACTTGTGGCCCAGCTCCCTGCCAGAAGGACTTGGCGGGGGAAGTGGAGCGGCATCCGGGGGAGTGGGCAGAAGGGGAGGGCAAGCTGCACGAGGTGCCAGTGTTGGCAGAGCATGAGGCACAGGCATTTCTGTGAGCAGCACATCATGGCGTTTGAGCTCAGATGCGTGGCAGAGGGTCAAGGAGGCTGGAGGTGTAGGCCAGGCAGGCCTAGCCCAGGGACTCTCTTGAAACGCAGTGGAGCAGCTTGTGGGCTTGGACTCCTTGGGAAGGCAGTGGGCAGCTGACAGAGCATGCGTGCGCAGGAGGCTGCCGTCAGTGGAGCCTCGGCGCTGGCCCTCTGGGGCAGCGGTGTGAACGGGCTGGAGCAGTGTTGTTACGCTCTCTTGAAGGAATACTGCTAGTGCTGTAGAAAACAGACCATTTGCAGTGCTCCCCAAAGTGCGGCCCATGGCGTGCGTACGTCAGTCACCTAGGTGCTTGTGTCATCGAAGACTCCCAGGTCCCATCCCACCCATTCTTACCTGGGCTTTGTAGGAGGGGGCCCTGGAATGTGCCATCTGAGCTTTGAGACCCCTATCCTGTTGTCTAATTACGGGTGGACAGTGGGGATTTACGTTGTTACTTCTGCTTGGTCGAGCCCACTTACTTGAATGTAACTGGGGACCAGAAAGTTGTGGGACAGGTCAGGAGAGTCATCAAGACTTCCCAGGGTTGTGGCGCCCGCCCCTCGGTTTCAGGCAAGAGGAGTGAGTGTGTACCGCATGTAGCCGGGACGGGTGAGCCGTTCCTTGTGTGGGAAGAGCACTTTCCCTTCAGGCCTGCATTAAAGCTCACGGAAAAGAAGAAACAGTTAACTGTTGCTGCTTTTCTTTTGGAAACTGTAGAGCAGCCTTCCAAACGCAGAAGGGTTGAGAACAGCGTCCCTCCCTCCGGAGCCACGGAAGTGGAGATAGGGCCTGCTGAGAGACACGTGTCCTTTGATGTCGACCCCCCTTCCAAGCAGAAGGAGAAGGTGGCCACCCTGAAGAGGGACGTGCCCAAGGTGCCCCACGACAGCAGTAAGGACAGCATCACGGTGTTTGTCAGCAACCTGCCCTACAGCATGGGAGAGCCTGACGCCAAGCTCAGGCCGCTCTTTGAGGCCTGCGGGGAGGTGGCTGAGATCCGCCCCATCTTCAGCAACCGTGGGGACTTCCGAGGCTACTGCTACGTGGAGTTCAAAGATGAGAAATCGGCCCTTCAAGCCCTGGAGTTGGACCGGAAGACTGTAGAAGGGAGGCCAATGTTTGTCTCCCCCTGTGTGGATAAGAGCAGAAACCCTGATTTTAAGGTATGTTTATGGAAAAAAGAATGCCTTTCAAAGGATTGTTTTAGACAGACCAAACACTCCTTTCCTACAGCACTAATATTTACAGTATATGCAGAATTTTTATACTCTGTTAGGAACTAAACTTCCACTTGAGTCAAGGTCTGATCCTGTGCTGGTTGACTGAGATCTGACTCATGGCTTGGTCACTCTGAGGTCAGTTAGTTAAGTTAGTAACGAGGATAAAATCAGGAGTTGTACTCATGGCTGTTTCCAGTTGAATGCTCAGTAGTGAGCAGGGACTGTGCTGAATGTTTTACACATTACATCACCGAACCCTCAGCACACTCTGTAGGTGGCTGCTCTCACACTTGCCATGTCACACAGGGAAGTGCAGGCCTGGAGAGGCTGCGTGACTTGCCCCAAGTGGTGCCGTTGATAGGTGTCAGAGCCTGGGCTCGGCCCCGCCTGCCTGGCTGGGGCGTGCTGTGGACCAGGCCGGTGTCTTGAATCACGGTTTCCTCCCTCTCCCTGCTTCCCGTAGGTGTTCAGATACAGCACTGCCCTGGAGAAACACAAGCTGTTCGTCTCAGGCCTGCCTTTCTCCTGCACTAAAGAGGAACTAGAGGAAATCTGCAAGGCTCATGGCACCGTGAAGGACCTCAGGCTGGTCACCAACCGGGCCGGCAAACCCAAGGTCAGTGTGGGAGCAGAGGGTGCCTAGCTTTCGAGGCTCCAGCAAGCCTCGTTTCTCCATCTGTTAGAGATCATTTAGCTCTGGAGTGGGTTCCTAGTTCTTGTGCTCAGAAGCAGATGATAAATCAATGGAAAGGTGAGCATACTTGGCTGTACTTATATTTGGAGCCATGTTAACCCATTTGCAGCTGATTGTACTAAAAAAGGATAAGGTGTTTGGAAAATTAATAAATACAAATTCATAGGAACCAGAGTATGGCCCCGGGCTGTGGGACCTGGGGGCAGCCTTGTGGCCAGTGGCATTCAGGCCTTGGCGGGGTGCCCTCTCCCAGCCTCCTCCCTTCGTCCCAGACCCTTCTTTCCCTGGAGCCTCCAGCCCCCCTCTTTTCATGTCCTCCCTCCTTGCCCCTCCTCTGTCTCCCCGTTGAGTCCTTTGGCACCACATTTTAAGTAGCGCGATTCAAGTGTGGCATTTGGATCACTCTCTGCCCACTGTCCTCCCCTTAGCCAAGTTGCTGGGGAGCTGAAGAGTGTGGAATGAGGGCGGGCTGAAGGCACAGGGGCAGCAGGGCCACCTGGGCTGCTCGTCCTTGTCCAGTTCATTGTTTGCTACCTTTATACTGGTCTGTTAGTTATTTTTTTGTTCTGGAGTAAGCATAAGGTTTGCTAGTCTGAAAAGGTTATCTGCAGTTAAATCAGTAACGGGTAGGGTGGGGAGGTAACCCGTAGACAGGATGGCCGCGGTGGGGAAGTGACTTGCAGCAGGCTGCCTGCCCTGGGCCGCGTCCTGGGGCTGCGGCGTCTGACCCGGCTCCACATCTTGCCCTTTCAGGGCCTGGCCTACGTGGAGTACGAGAATGAGTCCCAGGCGTCGCAGGCCGTGATGAAGATGGATGGCATGACTATCAAAGAGAACGTCATCAAAGTGGCCATCAGCAATCCCCCTCAGAGGAAAGTTCCAGAGAAGCCAGAGGCGAGGAAAGCACTAGGTGGCCCCATGATGCCGCGGCAGATATTTGGAGCGTAAGTGTCGCATGTTAGCCCAGTGCAGACCTTGTCCTGGCCAGCAGCGCCAGTTCATCCCCCGGAGGGACAAACCAGGGGTGAACCAGTTACTGTTAGGACAGTGAGTTCCGTCAGAAAAGCCAGGGCCTGCTGTTCCCAGGGGACAAGCCCGGGAGGTGAGGCCCTGCCTGGTGCCTGCCAGTTTACACTTGTCATTTATTGAAGGTAAAACTCTTTTTAAGGCAGTGACTATTTGAAAGTTCTCCTTGCTGGTGAATCTGTATGTTTAAAACAAAACCTGACAACCATATGCTTGGGGGTTTCCAGCCTCAGCTGTGATCCGTGTACAAACTGTGCTTGTCCCTTGGTAGGGGTGACACAGCAAGATCGCCTGGTCCTTAGGTGACGTCTCAGAGGTGACAGCGTTTTTGTCCACCCTGAGTGTGACTGCTGCACAGGGTTGGTCCTTGCCAAAATCCTAAACCAGGCAAAGTTCGTTGAAGTGGTTTTTACTTAATAGCCAGGAGGAGGGGGACAGGGCTTGTCTCATACTGCTTTTTATTTTTCATCTTTTAACTTTGGGTAACTTGAAATACCCCTGGCTTATTTTCTCACGAAAGTCAGGGGCCATGAGTCCTTGCCTGGGGGGACACTCAGTGTTTGTCTTCCAGGCGGGGGAAGGGGAGGACCCAGCTGTCTCTGCTGCCTCGCGCCCTGCAGCGCCCGAGCGCCACTCCTCAGGCCGAGAACGGCCCTGCCCCGAGCCCAGCAGTCACCACCTCACAGGCCACCGAGGTGCCCAAGATGTCCAACGCTGATTTTGCCAAGTTGCTTCTGAGAAAGTGAACAGGACTCTGGGAGAGACAGGAGATGCCTTACTTCATGCTGGCGCGGCAGACCACGCGCCACACAGCGGAGCGCTGGGGACAGCCGGGCTGGTGCGGCGCCCACTCGCCACCACCACCTTCCCTCTGGTTTGGACAGGAAGGGGAAGGGTGTTCCAAGTAAAGGCTTTCGTGCTCCCTCATATTGAGGGCAATAGAGGAAAATGATCACTACAGGGGGCCCAGGACATAGTGTCCTAAGATACTTTTGTGTCTTAAAGGATGAGGAGCAGAAGTGAAACCGGAACACGCGGTGTTTGAGACCCACTTGTCCTAACGTTTTTGGCCAGCTCTGGCCCCTTTTTATAAGACACTTCTCCCACACCCTCCACAGCACATGTGCCCACCACTCTTTTAATTTTAAAAGATGAAAGGCAGAGATGCCAGTAGTTCACCAGAATGGCCTATGGGGAGGGGGTGAGGGAGGAGAAATCTCATAAAAAACATGTGATGGATTTTTGTTCAGAGGAGCTGTGCATTTTTTATATTATGTATTTGTAAATGACATGTCGAGCTGTTTTGTTTTCCTAAAAGCGAAATGTTTGTGACATTTGTTTTCTATAGAAATCCTGTGTGCCACCTGCTGCGGACCATTTTCTTTGCCTAGTGACCAGTGACCTGTGTTCTTTGTCTAAACATTGAGTTCCGGCCCTTGGGTTTTGTTCCAATGCCATGTCGAGTCAGACTTCAGTTCTCCCCACTTAGCTTTGTTTGTTAAACTGAAGTTCTCTTAGAAACTTCTTGACAAATGGTACTCAGATGTGCATTCACATATGGATGTATTTTGAAGTGGGTGTACTTTGCTTTACCTAATAGATGTCTAAATAGAGCTTTTGTAAGTCAAATTCCATTGTCACTTTGATTTAAATTATTTCAGCTGTGATGTGTCTTCAGTTTTAAACTTTGGTTTACAGCAGTTTGACACTAGCTTTTAAGCTTTTTTTTACCTCTCCTCTTATCAAACATTTATCGCTTTGAAAGCAGCGTTGCCAGTTCGGCAGGGGAAGCTTACTTTATGAAAAACACTGGAGGAAGACATAAGGGAATCCTTTTATATGTCATGAGGGTCAGCTCCTCATTTATCTGTTGTAAGTTTGAGATTTTGTGCATCAGGCTTTTGTGCATTTTTTTTTAACTTTTTTTAATTGGAAAATTTTAAACTGATAAAAACGTAGAGTAGAAAAGAGTAAAATAAACTCCTTTGTGCCTACCACTGAGCAGTCGGCATTCCTCAGCCCACAGCCCTTCCTCCACTGCTGTCTCTAACTCCCTCTTGTGGGACATTGAGGGAGGCATATCCCAGACAGCGTCGCGCTCATCCAGGAATGTAGCTTGTGTCTCGAAAAGAGGACTTAAAAGCCATAGTTTTATCATCATCCCTAGAAACATTAGCAATAATACCTTAATGTCATCAACCATCCAGATTTCCAATTTCCTATTCAATAAATGTCACTTTTCCTCCCTGTAAATTATCATAGGTTGGTAGGCCTCTTAAGTCTTTTAAAATGTAGATTTTTCTCCATTTTTTTTTTTTAACACAAAATTCCCAACTCTTTTAGTAGGCATTACTTCTGAAATTCAAGCAGCGGCCATCAGCAGCAGGAAGAACCTAAGCTATGACACTTGAGTTCCCCCTGTGGCGTTCTCTGCCATGCCGCTCTGATGCCTGTTTAGTTGGTGACATGGCTTGGGGAGCTCAGAGGGAGCCCCAATGGTCGGGGACCCGACACTTGAAGAGCCACAGTTTCCTGGCTTCAGGCTAACGTGGCTTTAGTTTCTGCTGCTGGTTGTCTTGCCTTTGGCCAACACTCTGACCTAACTCATACTCCCGGATGTCAGCACAGGCTTGTCACAGCGGTCAACCTTTTCAGACCTGAGCAGTCTGAACCAGTTTTGGTTCACGGTGTTCACTGTTCTAGAAATGGATTTTTAGGAACATGAGTGTTTTCCTGAGAAAATCCAGAACCAAGGGTAAATAGAAACATGAAAGACCTCTTCGGTTACTTGAGTCTCAGTAAAAATCAGTAATTCATCCTTGTCAGCCTAGGACGGCACTTTGATACAACTAGTTCTGTCTCGTTTGCCTGTTGAAACTGCCATCGTGGATGTTTTTCTCCCAGAACAGTTTAAAGAACTGGGCTGGAGTTCAGAACCCTCCCGTCATCCTATGACAAACAGGAACATCTTTCAAATAAGACGGCAATGTCTCAGATGCTTATGTAATAAAATACTTTATTAGAATCAGTAATTTGTTAAAATAATACCCTTCACATATAGCTAAAGTGCAAATTCTCTCACTGTATAAGTACAACGCAGGTACTTTTGTCTGAATTTCTCGGTGTGCTTATAAAACCAAGACAAGAGGAGTTAAGGTGTTAAGAAATACCTTCTGGCAGCATGAAAGTATGAAAAAAACCTTTTTTTTTTTTTTTACAAAGGTTTGAATTACACCTTTGGAGCCATTTCATATATTATTTCACTTATTTTTCTTAACCTTTCAGAAAATACTCTGTGCTATTTATACACCTGAATAACTATAAACAATTACATCAGAGGAGTGACCTTGTGACTCAGGAACTGAATCCTCAAAGAGACAACACTGTGTGTTCACCACCATTCAAACAGTGACGAAGTGCAGTACAGTGTTAGACATCACAGGCTCTGTCACTGGGTTGGGGACCCAATGATTGTGGGCTGTTCTGACTAAATAGCAGCAGTCAAATTGGCACGTGTGCCATTTATGATTGAAAGGGGAAGATTCTTTCTACTTTGGTAAGATGACAGCTTGGCCATATCACATATAATGTATCATTTTCTAAGTTGCTAGAAAAATAAGGCCACTCCGAGGCAATCTCTTCTGCCTCCCCCGAGGGGAGGCTGGACATTACCATGGCTGTAGGAAGTGGGGATCTGGGCAGTAAGATGAAACTGCATGACAAAAGGGACACATCCTGGCTGTGGTTAAATGTACTTGGTTCAGTAGAAGCTGGTGCTCTAATTCATCATCACAAATGTTTATTTGGTGTTGATGTGGCATGTGTTTTTCCAGATGTGGTGTTCTTTTAACATTTACCTACAGAAACTCAGTGGGGGTGAGGGCAGCCTGCCCACTTGCATCATACCCGACTTGCAGTACCATGCAGTTGCTGGGTGACAAGCCCAGAGAACTTTTAGACAAAAACATGTCTGAGTTGCTGCCAATAAAGTGCAAGAGATACATCAGTACCCAAAGAAAACCAAGCTGGCCACTCCCACTGTTAATTAAAAAAATAGTCTCGATATGGAAAAATAGCCTCTGGCACTAAAGTTTGCAAACTAGCTATGGCTCAAAGAGCCTTCCTGAAAGTAAGGAAGGTATCCAACTAGAAATGTCAACATTCACTTTTCCCATATCAAAAGTTTGCTCTATCCGTATAAGTTAGTCGCCACACTAATCTCTCTGTACAGGAGCAAAGGGATGCAGTTCTCCGCAAGAGTGTTGACTTCCCAGTTAAAGTGACAGAACCCCTCGGAGAAAGACTCGGAGGTGTCATACCTATGGCTCTGGGCCCTGTCCCACAGCGCCTGGCCTCTCTCACCCACCTTTGTGCAAATTCTGCTCTAAAACCCGTGTCCTAGTCACACAGGAGCACTGCCATCCCTAAAGCGTGCTGGGACCACCACCTGAACTGTGGCCACCAGCACAGATGCGGCGAATGCCACAATGACATTTACTAGCCTGCGAAAAGAAGAAAATAAATAACTTGCCTGACTTATAAATTATCTTAGAGATAAGGCTTAATAATTTAGTATTTTTTTCTCTTTTAAATAAAACAAAAAACATTGGGAGGTAAAGAATGTTTAAGGTTTCCTTTTTGCTTTGGGAAAGGTTTCTAGAAATGCTAAGTTTCTTTGACTCTCCTCCTGCCCCGCCCCCAAGGACAGCCCTCGTCACCAAGTGGGAGGATTCCCAGGGTTAGGGCTTCACGGGAAGCGTCTCCTTGAACCCAGAGTGGTTGGGTTTGGCTTCTGGCAGTGCCACTGGGTACTCGGTCGTGGCAAAAAGCAGGGTGTCCAGGGTGGTCTCAGTGCACTTGGCAATGAAGCGAATGAAGGGCCGCACGTCGCCCTCGTTGGCAGCTTCCAGCACGTGGTAGTACTCGGATCTCTGCTCCTTGCGGATGGTGATGGGCGGGTAGCCGGCCTGCATCAAGATCAGGTTCATGAGCAGGCGGGACGTCCTCCCGTTGCCGTCGATGAAAGGGTGGATGTAGACGAGTTTGTAATGCGCCAAGGCTGCAAACTCCACCGGGTGCAGGTTCATGGCGTCCTCGGAGTTGAGCCACTGCACGAACTCCTGCATCTGTTTTTCCACGTCCTGCGGGTGGGGAGGGACGTGGTGCCCGACCAGGACCTGCGTCGTCCGGAACCTGCCGGCTTCCACCGGGTCCACGTAGCCCAGCACCCGCCTGTGGATCTCCAGCACGTCGCTGATGGCGACCGAGCCGATGCGGGACACCAGGGTGGTGTTGATGTACTTCATGGCCGCGTGCATGCCGATCACCTCGTTCTGCTCCTCCAGGCTCTTCCCTGGCACGGCGTAGCGGGTCTCCAGGATGTGCCTGATTTCCGACAGGGTGAGGGTGTTGCCCTCGATGGCGACCGTGTGGTAGATGTGATGGTAGTAGGTCTCCTCCATGACCCTGCGCAGCGCCGAGTTCCCCTTGGGGATGGATATGACTTTCTTCACTTTGCTGTCGATGATGCTGAAATACCTCTGGTCGATCTCCTCCACGAGCGGCAGCGTCCGGTCCCGGCTGACCAGCGCCTTCTCGTGGTAGGGCGAGATGGTCAGCGCTCTGGTGTACAAGTAATCCGCCTGGATGATGTCCTTGTCCTCTTCTGAGAAGATGCCGAACTCGGTGAGCGCGTCGACGAAGTCCGGGTCCATCTTGAGGGCGTGCAGGAAGAGCTTCTGGGCTTTCTCCCGCTTGCCCTGGCGCTTCATCTCCAGGGCTTGGTTCAGAGCTGCTCTGGCTTCCAACTTACCTGCTAGAAGAGAGCCACAGAGGCACTGTCAGGGAGGCAGGGGGTGGCCTCAGGGGAGCTGTCACCCATGCTGGCCTCCCAGGGGAAACCGTGATGACCAGCCCGAGTCCCTGGCCTTTGGGGGGCTTGTTCCAGCCGTGCTGTACTTGCTCAATGTGCCTGGTACTTCTCCATTCCCTAAGGCATTGTGGGTGGTATGCTGGTCACTGTCTGAGTGTCCCCAAAGGCATTCTCTGCACCCTGGGGGGCACCACCTGAGCTCCCCTGCCCCCTGCCTTCTGCCTGGACGTGGAGAAGTCCAGGCATTTGCCCCCCTCTAGCCCAGCTCCCAACGGGTGAGCCCCCTACATCTCCAGGATGCAGGTCCCTGCCCCTGCATGCCTAGGGGTGTTAACGGCCCCCCACCCTTGCCAGTCCCTGGGGGTGTTACCATCCCAGGACTGTTTTTTCATTTTTTTACCCCAGTGGTTTGACTGTGCCTCTCAGGAAATCTGGCGATGTCTGGAAACACATATAGGTGTCGTAACTGGGAGTATGGGTGCTCCTGGCAGCTCCTGGGGACAGGCCAGGGCTGCTGCTCACCATCCGTCAGCCCCACCACAGAGAACTCTCCCGTGAAGGAGGACATCCTGCCCTAGCCCTCCTGTCCCTGTCCCATCTCGGCCAGCCGAGGGTCAGCCACACTCAATTTCTTTGAGTTCCTTGAATGCTCCTGGGCTCTCTCTTCCCCTCAAGCCCTTCTCCTTGGATCACTCCTACTTGCAATCAAGTCTCAGCTTAGCCATCACCTCCTCCAGGGAGCCCTCCTGGTGTGCTCCTATGGCCTTTTATACTTCCCAGTTACCAGACTCACACTTGTCTCAGTCACCTGCCAGCTTGTCTAGGCCGGGAGCTCAGGGCTCACTGGTTCACCACTATCCCCCCGTGCCTTGTACACAGGACACAGCAGACCCTCTATAAATACCTGTCAAATGAGTGTGGAGGAGAGTGTCTCACCTGGGGAGGCCTTGGTCTTGACCAGCAGCAGCGCAGCATCCCTGGAGGTAACGCTGACCTCCGTGGATGGGCTGGCGCACTTGGTGACGGCGTGCTGTGCCCTGTCCAGTTTGCTCCTGAGCAGGTAGAAGCCTTTGAGCACAGCCAAACACTGCTCCTCCACGGCACCCAGCGGCAGCAGCAGGGCCAGCAGGGACCCCAGCACCATGCTCAGCAGCATCACCCAGAGGAAGCGGCCCCCCACCGAGACCCATTTCGGTTCAGTCACCGCCATCACTGAAGCCATCGGCATGAGCGTCATCTGGACTCAGAGGTGGGCCCCTTGGGCATGTCCACAGTCTGCTGAGAGCAGGATCTGCGAGGAACCGAGTTCACAGAGATGAGGCAGCGAAATGAACACATTCAGGACACAGTGTGACTTCAGCTGGGGAGGTGGGGCTAGTGACCCACACCTTCAATTCCCTAGAGAGATGGGGGTGGGAGTGGCATGAGGTGGGGGCAGGGCAAGAAGTGGATCTAACTGGAGGTGGGGCCAGCCTGGAAGGATTGGTGCCACCTACAGTGCAGTGTGACTGTGAAAAGTCACGCAACCGCTGCATTTATTGAGCACTTACTACATGCCAGGTCCTATGCTAAGCACTAAGCACCTCACACATATTATCTCCTACAGTCTCCAACCACAACTTGAGGAGCTGATTATCATCACCTCACTCTCCAGAAGAGGAAACTGAGGCTTGGAAAGGTGACATCCTTTGCCCAAAGTACCCCAGTGAGCAAGTGACACCCTTAGGACTTGAACTCAGGAACCGCACAGCTCTGAAGCCTCCCCCCTTCACCACGCATCTCTGTGGCCTGACCCCAAACACTAGGTATTTAAGGCACAAATGACTAACAAACATACACCCAGATTAGCCACAGCAGTTCTGAAACCCATTTTTGGGTAAGCACATCTGTTGGGTGGCCTTACCGGCATGTGGGTGGCCACTTCTTACTCTCCCCCTGATACTCAGCCACGTGCCCCCAATGCTATTACCCTCTCTGGCCTTCCTTTCCTGGCCTGTCCAGAAGGGACCCCAAGAGGTTGAACAGTCCAAGCATCCTTAAAGGAACAGGCTGTGGGCCAGACTGGTGGCCACTTGGCCTTAGTGACAACAGGCATGCGCTTGGGGTGGCAGTGGGAGTGGAGGGGCCAGGTATGCAAGCACCATTATGCTGACAAT